CTTTTGTTTTGCAGACAATATTTGCACAGTTTCAGCACAGTCGGGAAAAAGCGCTTCCCTCGGATAACATAAGGCACGCTCTTGCAGAAAGCTTCAAAGATGAGCAGCGATTTCAGCTCGGCCTTATGGATGATGCTGCAGAGTGCTTTGTAAGTATTTCTGATAATCCGTCTCTAAAACATTTTTTTTCATTCTTTAAATACATATATTTTGAGACAAAACAAAAATTTGTAAAAATGCAAAAGTATCAGACTGGGTCAGTGCATCCATGTCTTACCCCTTCTTCAGAGGTCAATTTAAATCCATCTGTGCTTTGTGCTGTACTTTTGGTTATGATTATTTGTGTTGCTTCAGGTTTTACTGAGTGATAGGCTACAACAATATATTAAAATTTATTGTTTAAAAAAAACATTGCTAAGTATATATTATATCATTTAAGTCAGTGTTCTGCCTCCGTGGGGCTTACATATACAACACATTTCCAGCAGCAATATTTCTCATTGCATGGGATGATTCTCTTGGGTCAGAAGGAGATCTTGCTGGGCAGCTATCAGGGACAATAGTTCTGATACCTATTTGCCACATTAAAATCACAGCTCTGTTACCACAATATTAATAAGTAGAGCATTTCTTTGATTAGGGGCAGACCTTATATAGCTTCTGAAATATGTATGTTGATTAGTAAATGTGTTGGTAATGTCACCTGCATTTAAGATGTAACTATTTCTTTTCTCTTGGTCCATTTTCTATTCTGCAAATTCTGTAAATTCTTCCTGCACAGATCCTTTTAAAGGTTTTCTATCCATGTTATTTCTCTACCACCACTTTTTCTTATTCCAAGACTGCCAGATTAATATAAATTTCTTCAGATTAATGTTTGTTTAATTCAGATCTAGGCTTTTCTTCTGACATTTAAACCCCTTTTCAGGTAACCTCAAAATTATCTCTCAGCTTTCTCTGAATTTTCTTTCCTAGTGAGTTAGTTCCATTCTGTTTCTCGACGTCTGTTATATTTCTGTTTAACAGCCCTTGTTCAAGTTTCTGACATACTCAGAACTATTTTATCCTATCGCTTAGTCAAGGATCAAACTAAGCCATACTTATCAGGTAAGATATGAGGAGTCCACTCCAATAAATTTCATGAGTTTCTGTAGAATTTACGATTGTAGAATTCATTTGACATAAATATGTTTTTATCTTGCTGTTAGTGAGCATCTTTATGGTTTCCTGACTTAGGTAGATAGAAAAGTCCTTGACTAATTCAGTGCCAAGCATACTGCTGCATGATTAAAATGTGCCAATAACAGTGCACACAATAATGAAACACACTTTTCTTATTTTTCTACTTATAATTGATCCACTGCATAAAACATATATTTTGCACAATGTATTTGCTTTATAGTTTTACTTTCACTTAAATGAAATGTGTGAATACATGCTAATGATAATTCATAAAATGTCCAGAAATCTAGGAAAAGTTACCTGCTTTTTCTTAACATAAGAATATAAGGACATAGAAAACTATATTTTCTAATATTAAATTCTAGATGTCAGTTACTGTGGGTTGGATTTTTAAAGAATTTTTAAATATTTAAGTAATGTATTATGATGTTTCATGAAACATTTATTTTTAGCTGACACTACTAAAGGTGAATAATCGAACAATATTTGAAGTGCTGATTAAAGAAAGCTGAAAGACTAATAATATGTATGCCATTTCTACACTTTCACTTTGGAAAATGTTCAGTTGGAAAGGGTTGTATTTTGAAGTGTTCTTTGAAACATTAGCAACTCATTTCTCTATTTTCTTTTTAAATTAGGAAAATATATTGGAGAGGATTCATTTTCACATAGTGCCAAGCAGAGATGCAGACTTGTGCACCTCTAAGTCTTGTATCACTCACCAGAAGTTTGCTATGACTCTGTATGAACAGGTGAAGTGGCTTACTTATTTTATTAGATATTATATTTATGTTTTGTGATTGATAGATTAAATATATGTTTTTACCTATAGTGTGTGTGTCGTAGCTGTGGAGCATCATCAGATCCTCTACCTTTTACAGAATTTGTGCGGTACATATCTACAACAGCCCTATGGTAAGGACCTATTAAAGCATATTTAACAAAGATGTTAACACATTTAAGCACATTAAACATTTATTCTGTGAAACTGTAACATCTATGAATTACCCCTTGCCCTGTCTGCTACATTAAGAAATAGTAAGAGATGTTTATCTCAGATAATATTTGTGATTTAGCCTTAATACAGGTTGAGTATCCCTTATCCTGAATGCTTGGAATTTGAATTATTTCAGGTTTCAGATTGTGGACTATTTGCATCTATACATAATGAGATATCTTGGGAATGGGACCAAAGTCTAATCATGAAATTCATTTAGATCTCATATATGAGTACATCTTATACATATGGCCTGAAGGTAACTTTACGCATTAAGTTTAGTTTGCCTGCATTTATTTTGATTGCATTGCATCACA